GGGGGGGGGGGGGGGGGGGGTTAAAGCTGATGGCACATGGGCTAACACGTCGTCCAGCAGTAATTTCGAAAGTACTTTTTGTTATTTTTTTTAAGTTTATCACCCAATTTTTCAGAAGCGCGCCGATTCCTAATTTTCAGGCGTCGGATGAGTAACTGCCTGTTTGGTCATTCAATTATCCAAATATTAATTGATAACGCATGAATTTGATTCAACAATCAAATTGTATTGCTGATGAATTTGAATTCACGTTTTAATTTTGTTATTGATTTCCAATGGAAACGTTTAATGGTATCTGATAATTCCGGGATTTACTTAATGGGTACAAAATTGTAATTGAACGCATTCATGCGATGAAAGAACAATTATCAGATGTCAAAACTAATCGATTGAATAATTTGTCCTTGTTTATGATAATATAAAAATTCATATTCACCGAGTAATGTGTGAATGAATAAATTCAAATGAAATTACTCATTCGAAAGATGTAATTTGCCTCGTAAATACGCATCAAATATTCTTCCCGAGTGATAGAAAATTGAATAAATTATATGGAAGGAGTCATATTAAGCTTACACATGCGCAACGAATCAATAGAAAATTATCATGAAAATGTCTCTCCCAGCGTTCCCATATCTGAATTAATTTTCACAGAATTGACGACATGAAATGGTTGAGGTGGAAGAGAGGCTTCACAATGTTACATTGCACCCAGATAGAGATGTACGAATAACACTGACCATTGTGGTTATGAAATTTCAGTAGGATTCACGTAATTTACATGTCATCAATTTATTGTGTTGCAATTAGCTGGGATTTTGGGGTGAATAGGAGAACAGATAAAGAGGGGGGACTGGACAGCTGACCATTGGGTACTCAGTGGCTATATGCGGTACACGCTCGTATCATTTATTCATTTTTTTTTTCAAATTAATGACTAAAGTATAATTGGGCATTCAAATTTTGCTGTTGTGAATGAACTTGTGTCCGCTGAACGATAAGAATTATATTTATATTCTAGTTATAGATGCAGGGATAGAATTAAATAATAAAAATTACCATGGAAATAAGAATTCTATGGCAACATAATAAAAGGGTTTTCATATTCGTCGAACATGGAATTTGTGCCGTAGTGCTCAATTTAGAAAAACAAATTCCAATCACGAGTAGAGTCAAAGTATAAAAATTTTTTGTTCTCTCATTTAATGAGTTATTTTTTAACTGGAGGGAAAATGTACACTGCGAGAAATATCGTCATAATATCAGAAAACTAATTTCTTGTCACAAAAAATCGGTTTTTTCGTGTCTGAAGATGAGAAAATGACTAAAAATATTAAAAGCTTCCATTCAATGAATCATGAATCAGAGACTTTCATATTGAATGAATAGAGAGTTTATACAGAGGAAAAGCTCCAGATATTAAAAAAATCTAATCGTCGCTTACGCTCAATCGGTTTGAGTTCGAAGGAAAAAGTCCCCAAGGCGCAATGTCCTCAAATTTTTTGCCATCCAGAGCAACTTCGGATGTAATAAAAACAAAAGCGGGACATTTGTGGGAAATTGTTCGAACTTAATAATTAAATTTTTTTGATATTTAATTTATTCTTCATTCTCTTTTCTTAATATTACTTAATATTGTTGATTTATTCTCTCGGTAGAAAAAATTGACATGTATCAAGTCCAAATTTAGTCCTGATTTTCTTTCGAGATTTGAGAGATATTAAAAAAATTTCGAGACAAAGTCGGTTTTGACATTTTGTAATTTTGATCTCTCGAGAGACCAGTTCAAGTGTTGCCCCGAATTTGTCCCGAGACTTGAGAATCATACTTCAAAAATACTGCGACAAGCTCGAGAGATTCTCTATACCTGGAAAATAGTTCTGAATTTCTCTCGACACTTGAGACGAATTGAAAAAATTCCTATTTACTCTCGGGATAAAAAATTTAGATTGATGAAGTAATTTTCATGTCTCGGGGTGATTTGGGGCTACTGATTTAATCATTGTCAAGTCCCGAGACTTGAAAGTCTACTAAGGAATATTATCTCATTGTCGAAAAAAGACATCGCCTTTTCATTCCGTAACTTTCTCCTTAGCCCGAAGAGCATCGATTTCTTATCTGAAATCTACCATAAATTGATCAAATATGTATGCGATACTTCTCGCTCAAAAAGTATTTTTCCGGCCTGTTGCGATGGGGTTTTTTACTCGTGTGGCGTTGGCCTCCGAGCGGTAGGCGAGGACTGGCCAATCACACGAGTAAAAAAAGCCCATCGCAACAGCCCAGGAACAATATTTTTCTGTAGTGATTTTCAAGTTTTCGATTTTGGGAAGTATGTAATACCAATTCCCAGACGAGAAATCGTGAGATGGAGTACAGAAATAGTATATTACGTGCTAAGGCGGAGAAGTGCTGAATTCAACGCTGGTGGAGTACAGGCGCACGAGGCACGTGAGTCGGAGACGAGGCCGCCGAAGGCGGCGGAGCCCCCCCCACTGAAGAAAAAACAAATTGCAAAAGAAAAAAAAAATCAAATGCATTTAAATTTCCCCGCCACAGCCGGGGANAAGAAAATAAGGAAAATAAGTGAATCTCGAGATCTTAGTTGAGATAGATGGGCATAACTGATTGTTTTGTTAGATTTTATTATTTAAACTATGAGTATTATTCTTGCGTTTACGTTGTAGTTTATTTCAGAGTTTCAATAAAAAATTTTCTATGAAATGATATTTCTAATATTATTATTATCAAAATTAAGATTTTTTAATAATTTATTTTTCATTTTAATTTTCAGGTGTATTTTCAAATGTAAAATTTAACAATTTTGAAGATAATGAAGGGGATTCACTGGCTGAATTTATCAGTTTTTATATGTAGTTTTATATTTCGGTACATTAACGCTGGGTGGCGCCACACGTTTTTCAGTCCTAAGGAGTGCATTTCTCACTTTTTCACTCCTAAGTAGTGCATTTCTCACTTTTATACTGCTCAACGGTAAAAAGACCTACTTCTCATGCTTAACTACCGTCGGTAAAAGAGCCCTTTTTGGGCTTGAGCAATGAAAAATGATTTGTGTACTATTCTGTCAATTTTTCTCTTACTGTATGAGATGTGCAATCAAAACGTGATCATGAGAAATCAATAAACAATTTCGCCAAGGTATCGTCTGTATATAGACCGGAAAATCCCTTCTCCTTTCATTTCTGATAAATTCCATCCAATACGTAATTCTATCCGTTGAATCAGTTGCAGGACGGATCAACGAGTGAGAGTGTACTGCAGTGGTATCCAAGCCACGAGGACGACGGCAAGTACTTGATCTGCCGAGCGGAGAATCCCCGATTACCCAAGGCCACCATTGAGGAGCGGTGGAATCTTACTGTACACTGTGAGTAATACTGGTTAAGAAACAATTGTTTTGGATTAGCGGTAACGATTGGATGAGACGTTCGTGATAAAGATTATCTCATTTCATGAATCGATGATTTCGTGATGCGCAAGTGTCTTTCACCAAAACAGGTTGTAATCTTATAACAAATTTGCTGGAGCGGATGTGAAATTTATATACTTCTGACTTAGATTCTTCGTGAAAGAAACAACATATATAACCCCGCGTTAACGATACTGTTGAGTTACAAAAAATTTCACTTAGATTATTCTCAAGTTTGGTTTATTTGTTTGAAAAGTGATATTTGTGGTATTTTTATTTATAGGTTGTTTAATGACAATTTTTAAGTGTTTAGAATGAGTTGATTTTTTAGTTGATTATTGGTTCATCTTTCATGGTTTACACTTTAAATGTTTTAGAGATTATGTTTGAAATTTACAAGAACGATCAAACAATGAAGAATTAATATAATGTGTTATTTTATCTTCAAAACATTGATACACTGTTAGGAAATTACTTCTGAAATTTCAAGTAAAAAATTTTGAAATCTTTAATAATTACTCATTCAAACCAGCGACGGTGGCCGAAGTGGGTAAATCGCTCGGCCGGACGGCAGGACCCGTGAGACGCGGGTTCAAGTCCGGCTTGGAGCAATTGGGATTTTTAATCTTTCGGAAACGGTCGAATGGAAGTCTAGACACCGAGGATCATCGGAGAAGTGTTAGAAAAATATTCTCCGATGACGCTCAGTCGATGGACGCCCGTGTCGACCAAGGTTTTCCATGGTTTCCCTTGGTCACCAAAAGAATCTGTACGTGGGGTACAGCTCCTGGGGTACAATGCGACACGGTTGGAGAGGAAGTCGGCCCATGAAACCGCAAATATGTAAAAACTCGAATAGGGTATATATGGCAAGGAATAGTACATTACATGCCCGAGCCTTGGAAAACAGATCACCGTCCCCCACGTGGAAGATTGCCTTCCGAGCCGAAGGCGAGGATGACAAGCACGTGGGGGAGGGTGATATGTTTTCCATGGCGGGGTGTGTATATTAATTTTCAGGTCCCGTCACACGAAAAAAAAAAACTACTCATTCACATGAAATTTTCATGTGTCTTGTTATTGAAAAATCAGTTGAATTCTGGAGTATTCAATGGAATTGCAATTTTCAGGTCTGCATAATAATGAAAATTATTAAATAATTTGTAAATTCAGCAGGATGTCAAGTTCAATTTCCGCAATGAATTTCAAAATTCTAGATGTCATTGAAATATCAGTGATCATCTATCCTGAAAACCCCAATTATCCTGAATTTCCAACCTAAATCAGAGATTCCATGAGCGATTTGATCTTAAATTGAATCCAAATTCACAATATTGAGAATTCGAGTGCTGCTATTGCTTGATTTAAAAAAAATTTCTAACAGTGTTTGAAGCCAATTAGATTTTTTATAACTGATTGGAAATTTAAATAATTTAACAAGTGTTGAATATGTTGCTTGTTCATGTAAGGAGATATGGTTCAACTTTGATAATGATTTGAACTGGTTTTGAATCCTCGAATATTTCAAGACATTCAATTAATTTGAACAGTATAAATGAACAAGATTAAATTTAGAATGCTGGACATATTTTATGCGCCTTGACTGCTAGAGTAGAACTGTTCTACATTTTTTCAGACGTGCTACGATACGTCTCTTTCTCTTTCTGTTGATGTGTTACAATCAATGAACAATTTAAAACTTCGGAAAACCGTCAAATGTCACATTTTGACATATGAAATTAAAAAAAAATTAAGTAATTACCGGCCATTGCAAATAATTAATAAATCTTCGATAAAACTAGTAAATATTTCATTTAGAAACGGAACACACTGGGTGAAATGGACCCGGACGAATTTTTCACAAATCTCCAGAAATCTAAAATAGACTGTTCACAACTACTTTTCGATCATTCCATATTTTTCTTCAGAGTTTCTAAACGCCGATTGCGAATTTTTTCCATTCACCTCTGCAGAATAATTTCATACTATTGCGTACTGGGGATATTTAATGCCAGTGTACAGGTTACGAAATATTTTAAGAAAAAAAGAAAAGTAAACTTGTAGGGATTGAGGTATCTGAGGTGATAAGGGAAATCAAACTCATTACACGGCGTCATATGTACGTAACGATTTATTACGTCGAAGCGATAGACTGATGTATATACAAATGATAAATGATAATACGATTAAGTAACGTTCGTGTAGACAAAAGCGACTAAACTGATTCCAAAGGACTCTCAACGTATCTCCAGAGGTGTCAGTGGTCCTCAGGCGAGAGGGTGTGTGTGAGGGCAATGGTTGCTCACACACTGGGCGTAGCGAGCCGCTACACGCGGCCTTTTTTGAGTGCACACATTATTCAATTAGGATGAGTACATAACAAGGGTTTAATATTCATGGGGATAATTTACTTGTTCATGATGAATTAGAGGTGATAACTCAAAGGAACATAAATCAAGAAAAACTTCAACAAAAAACATCGATACCTCCACTCCAACTCTGAATTCTGAGCATTTCATTCACACGGAGAGAAATATTCAATAAAAATTACGGGACAATTCACGTAATCCGCAATGGGGAATCAATTTCCGGCCATTTTTATTGGAATGGAAGAAAAGAATTCTGAATTCTGAAACGTTCAGTGAATTCTCAGGTTCATCACCGAACAAAATACGAAATTGTCACGTAATTTTTCCCGAAGAAGTAAAGTCTTACAGAAACTGACCGACTTATTATGCCTCCGGAATAAAAAATTCTTGAACGTTCAACAATTTTTATGAAGCTGGTGAGTTATTTCTACGTTTCATTCCGTAAAATTTCTCAATCGTTGGGGAACAATTACTGAACGACTTTTTGTCCCCACAGCAGCGATTCATCAGACGCGTTGTTAATTGTTACGGAACAAATCGTAGAATTTACGTGGCGATTCGTACAATTTCACACACTTTTTATTGAATTTTACTTCGCTCGTGGATTACGTTTCGTAACGTAATTTTTACGTTTTTTTCTGGTAATTTTTATTGCATTTTTCTCTTCGTGCAAGAAAAAATAAAAATCAAAATACATGGGGAAGAAAGTGAGAGAAAAATTACCGAACCAGTCAAGCAATCATGGAGCGAACTCGATTTACAGTACTTTTTCATCCTATATTGGGGAAAAAGTGCGAGACGAATAGTGAATTCAGTAGCGAAGTGGTAAAACGGTTTAAGTCGACTCATCTCCCAGTTGAGTTTTTGAGGCATATTTCGGACTCGAAGAGAGATAGTGAAATATTCGTCACTACATTTATTGCAGCTCTCAATCGGCTCTACAAAAAAGGTTATAACAAAAATTTTGTCATCTTCTTTAGATTCCGAGATATTCATTGAAAACTGGTGAATAGTCAAAATTGACTTGTACTGTTTTAGCACTTCGCTACACTGATAGAACGGTTTAGTCGAACCAAACGAGTCTTTTTAACTGTTACCACGATTCGTTAACTATTAACGAATCGCGGTAACAGTTAAGAAGCCTCGTTTGGTGCAACTGAATCGTTCCACCTTTTCTATCAGCGTACTGAATTCTTCTCCGCTGGCCCGTTTGTTAGTTAATTATATTTCCCTCCCCAATAAGCTTTTGTCCAATAATATTATCCACGATTTTCTAAGTCATTTTTATTCACTTTTTCTCTTTGTGTACCTCAATATTCACATCCGAGAAAGCCAAGTCGAGCGAGAGTGGGGGCAACATTGATTTCGGAAAACAATCGATTCTAGGGGAAACGTGACTCTAACGAGAGCGACTGTAACGAGAGTCTACTGTATTAAATTTCCTTTACGCGCTGATGAATCATATTGCATTATATCGGGAAAAGTCTGAACTGTAATTGAAAACAAAAAAGAACCCTTTGTGGCCGACAAGAGTGACGATACTCCAGATAAATACTAAGTGTGCATGTGAGGGTGTAACGTGATTCCCTTCGTCGATCAAGGCTTAGTTGTACAATGTCTGTTTGACGATAAATTTAAGCCCTCAAGTACGGCATCCATGCCACACATCGATCCGAGAGCTTGTCCTATCAGCTGTCGTCCATATATGTCATACGGACCCTTTCCGTGATTAACACTCCGTTGGTCGCGCTACGAGTCCGCGCCGCACTTTTTCCGATTTTTTCAATTACACGGCAGTAAAGCGTCAGAAAAATTTGAAAAAATTTGACATGTCATTTTGAAGTGTCTAGAAGCTCTATCAATGAAAATATCCGCCAAAAATATCATAAGTAGTTAGATTTTCAAATTTTTATTGCGAACCACTGGGCCGTGTACCGTGTATAAGGCGAGTTTTTAGAAAAACATGGCAACTCTGAGCTTGAATATATAATTAAGAGTAACGCTGAATATAAAAAATCTCACGGGACTTCTTCAAACATACGATCTTGATCACTCATGATTTTTTTTCCGATTTTTCCTAGATCTTTCAAATTTATCATAATGTCGATTCATGGAGTGTTCATAAAAATTCATTATCTTTCATACTATTGTAGACATCAAATCTTTCGTTTATCAAAATAATTTTTATGAAAAATTCAGAAATTTTTACCGATTATACCACCCAAAAAAATGTCGGTCTGAATGAGACCGAAAAATTCGTCTCAATCAAGTCGGGCTGAATCATCCGTGAATCGACTAGTTTCATGCCCAATTGACAGCATGAATCAAGTCTGACTCGGACAGATGCGAACCGGAATATCGGGCTGATTCAAGTCGATTTTTCTACTTGATTTGGGCCGACTTCGGCTTGATTCAGGTCGATTTTCCGGTTTGATTCAAGTCAATTTTGCGACTTGATTCGAATATTATAGCCAGGTAAGTCCAAGGTCACTGATTCTATGTCAGTTCAAGCTCTGCTAGCAAGGTCGGACCAATCATGGCCCAAGATTGGTATTCCAAGCTTGAACTCTCAGGCTTTAACCAAGCTTG